CCTTAGAAAGTCCTCCACGAAGACATTCCCCTCTTAGGCAAATAGCCCTCGAGGCTTTGCCATAATCACACACACACACACATATATGGTAATTTTCTTAAAAAAAGCATCAATTTTTGATTTGAATATGAATATGTTGCAACTTTTTCCTTGAAGCGACAAATTTAGTTTTTCAGGTATGTCACTAAAATAACACAGGTTTTGTAGCCACAACATATTATGGAATAAATTCTTAAAATCAGGTTTTTGTTTGGTAAAAGAGAAGAACTTCATATTTTAATTTTAATGACTCTTTCAAACTGTGGCTTCTTGAAAGCCACCTTACCTCTGCATGTACGAATAAGCTTTTGCATTCAGAACCCATGTCTTTACGAAGATTTCAAAACAAATGACTATTCAGTGCACGACTTTTAATAAAAGTTGACCACTTTAACACTATCTCGAAGGATAACATCTAACTCGGCTGATATGTTTTTAGCCACCAGGGCTTCTCTATGTATTATGCAATGAGTAAATGTTATATGTTCGTTGCCACTTTCCTTAATTTTGGCTAGAAATCCAATCTTTTCACCGACCATTTCTTTAGCACCATCTGTGCAAATGCCAATATAATTTTTCCCATTGAAAATTTTCTTCAATGGAAAATTCATTAACTTTTACAAAAATGTCCTCTCCTCTTGTTTGTCCATCCAAACAGCGACAAAACAAAAATTCCTCATGAATACATACTTCAAAAATATAGCTGACATGCACTAATAATTGAGCAAAGTTGGTAATATCAGTTGATTCATCCAACTAGATTGCAAACTTAGGACTCATTTTGAGCCTAGTTATTAGCTGCTGATGTTGATCTTTATTAATTTCCGAAATTCCTTTTAAAACAGTATCGTTAATTAGCCAAAGATTTGCTGATTTGATGATTTCAAAAGTCGTTCAAAGTATTCTTTTGGTTTCTTGCAGTGCGCAGCATGCTTTGTATTGAGATGTCGCTTTAATTTGGCGGGTTTCGTATTTTCTGTAGCCAAAACTTCTTTATAAATTAAGCATAATGGCTTTTCAATTCCATTATAATTACAAGAAGTAAAACCAAATTCCAAACATGATTTGTCATATTTTCATTTTTTCGGTATCTTAAATGCGCTCGTGCTAGGTACCGGAGATGATATCTCATTGTTCTTCAATATTTTTATCTCGTTTACCTAAACTCAACCACTTATCCATGATTCGTAAAAATATTTGACAATAATTATGGTTGAGAAAACAAGCGATAGAATATAACTATAACTTACTTGCTGATGAAACGATGACAAAAGCGTCAGAACGCTTGTTTTATCGGGATAATAGTGGATATTCGGAGTGAAGGGACGCTCAAACGTGCGAAAACGATCCGCATAAGCTGACACAAAGGCGAGACGGCTGAAGGCGACGATTGAAGTCAAAGACAGCCCAATGCGCATGCGTTACCAAAACACTCGGCCCAAGGCGTTTTGCTTCCGGAGTACCTTTGCAAATAAATGCAATAACCTCCACAACTTCGTTAAGAAAATATTGAATAATTAAGATTAAGCATAGCTAAAGTGAGGAATGAAAGCCGTTAAGGGCTTAAAAACCAGTAATGAATGAGGAGTCCACTCAAGGGACGAGAAGTTCCTTCGTCTTTCAATTTCGCTAAGGAAGGGTCGGGTGACCTGTGCGATAAGAAAGATCAGAGATCGCAGGCGATTTCGGATGAAATCGAGCAAAACACTCGGATCTTGCATACTCAAGGCCTTTGACAAACTGACAGTGTCACGTGCAAAGCAAATAAAATGAACGTTTCTCTCATAAGAATATGCGTCGATACGTTTTCGTTTTTCCTTTGTCTGTATTGTCTTATCTTTATCTATTTTCAGGTACATCGTGTAAAAATTATTATAATAAGTTAAAGAAATTTCAAAACTGCTAAAATTTTGGCGACCCCTGCTGCAGGTCCTACTACTCTCAGTTTAAGAAACTCTGCTTTAAGCCATTGATGGAGATCCTTATGAAAAACGTGACCCCTTAGATACCCTCTGTACTACTAAATTAGTAATTATTGCTCACGCGCTGCTTTGCGTCTTTAATGAGTATGGTACCTACCAACCAACCATCTCATCGAAAATTTAAAAATATATAAAACGAAATTAATTAAAATTATTCCTTACAGAGTATATTGGAGTTCTATGTACGAGTTTAAAATCTTTAAGCTCCAAAATTATTTTTAGCCTGGAATAGATAAAAGATAAGAATATTCATACTATCATCTCTATTTACGTATGTAAAATCTGTACAACATTTTCAATACAAATAAATGTCAGAACAAATGAAATTTCAGATAAAAATTTACTTTTGCTCCGAAAGGTATTTTTTAGAAACGGGAAAGGTGTTTCGGTACCTAATACCTAAAATTGTTAACGCAAATTATACAGTTAAATGATTATCACTTTGTTTTAAAAGATTCATCAAATAAAACTGCGCCTCTGAAAAAAAAATAGAAAATGGTTGCATAGGTTTTAGAAAACGCAACTTGAAGTTTTATATTTGAAATACTAAAGTGTAACTTATCATATTAGTATACATTAATAAATAATGTCTTGCTATTATTATTTTATATATGTGGTTAGAAATGCTGTTAAGAGAATGAAATGCAGTTATGCTTGCGAATTGAGATTGCATTGACCTAAAAATACACTTTTGTTCCAACTCTGTTTCAGACACAGATGTAGATATAATTCCGTTCTCTAAAATTATAACGTCATTAAGGTTTAGCTAATGAGTACACAATAGTAAGAAGCATTTTAATTCAGATCATCTCCACTGCGAAAGAAAACATAGATATGCTTTATTTTAGAACATGCTTATGAAACTTAAAAAGAAATATTTTCGGTTTGCATTTTCATGCTCAAAAGGAAAATAGATAATTTCTCCTAAAATATAAAGCAGCTGTACTAAATACGGCGTGCAGTGATATAGATTATAAGATTTCGATCCGGCTTTTGAAAGTGATGATTAATCCCTTATCAAGCACTTTCACGGAGAGTTCTGTGATACATGTTCCTTAATTCATATGCACTAAAAAGAATTTTAGACTGCAAGAAAAATATTGTGAGTATTTTTCTCTTTACAGTTATATAAATAAAATTCGCATAAAAGCTAGGAAAATGTCGTCTTCAGTATAATTGCTTTAATATTTATGCTTTAAATTACTACTAAATTTTAAATGCTACTTACCTTCAGTTTGATCAAGATTTATATTCAGAATATGTTTTATGACATAATAAATGAAGCACCTTATAAACTTGGTTTTTCCAGCACTTTTCATAATGTAGCGTATTCTGTGCAGAGTGTTAAACATTCTCGGTCTTCTCAAGACGTCAACACGTAACAATAGAATGTGACGTCTGCCCCAAATACATTGGGAAAATATTTCCCATGGAATTCCAACTCAGACCAATATGATTTATAAGAAAATAATGTAAATATATAAGATATATAAGAAAATAAGGGCATGTACTCATATCATTCTTATATATCTAATAGATATACCAGAAAATAAGGCATGTACTCATATCATTCTTAAATATCTAATAGATATATAATAGTTACATATATAATAGATATATAAGAAAAAAAGGCATGTACTCATATCAAAACAAAAGATTTATTGGAATCTTATATAATTGCACATATGAACACTTGATGTTAGTTCGGGCATTTTAATATAAATCTAAAATTTGTAGATTATTTTAAACTAAAGCTAAATAAATGTCCCTTATTTCCTGGTATATCTATTAGATATATAAGAATGATATGAGTACATGCCCTTATTTATCACAGGCCTGAATCCAAGAAAAATGGACTTCTGTACTGTTCATGGACTAGTTAAGATTAAGCTTAAATTATGATTTTCGATGTATTCACATGCACAGAGAGCTAAGGAAGTAAACTTTCTGGTGTGATTTCAGAAAAACAAATCAGTATTTTAGAGTTCAGCGTTAGATTAAGAGGACGAAATAGCATCTCCAGGATGGATGTACGAATTACACATCCTACCATGATGTTGTTTGATTATTTTTACACACAAAGATAATAAACGACAGCTGTGTAAGGTTTGTAAGAAGATCTTCTATCCTCTAGCTTATTTTTATGGAAATATTTATTGTCTTGCTAGAGCTGGCTTGGCCACTTAGTCTTTAAAAATGAAGATTTTCAAAGCATGGAGAGGACAGACAGATTTCTGGACCTGAATCAATGTTGTGTAAGTAACGTACTCTGCAAAGCATCTCCAAGACTTAGAACGACCACATAGTCCTCTGGCCGTTATGAAGAACTTTAGCTGAAAAAAGGATTTAGCTGTCCTTAAAAATTTTTAATAGCTTTTAAAATATTATGAGGCTTTGTTCTTAAACACCCATAACAATTAAGGTAGCAATAATCCTTATTGCCTTTTCTAAAAGTATGATAGTTTTTAATGCTATTTCGCAATTTCAGCTTTCAAGACCTTGTAATATGGTCATGAACAAAGAGTTTGCATGCACAAATTGTTTATAATTTTCTATTGATTAATAAGAAATTATGACATTTTGTACAAAATTTTATTACAATATGTTATTACTTCTTGATTGTGATTTTGTCAATTTAATCTTAAGCAGAAATGTAGATGTATGTTGGCAGAAAAAATAATGACATCCTGTTTTTATGAAGAATTAAAATGTTGCGTTTGAGTATGCGGCCCTCATGTGAATAATTTTTAGTGTTTAGAAACTTCAAATAAGTGCTTGTGGAGCATTTTAGTAATGATTTACAGGAGCTTTAGTGAGAAGAAATCTTGATGAATTCTTTAATGAACTTATGAAAGAGAATGTTAACGAAACATTCTGAGAAATAAACTCAGAGACTAATGTCTTCCCAATATTTACAAAGCAGGAAATTAATATTGCATCATATATTATAGAAAAGCCAGTTGTTGAATTCGCTCGTACCTGGGGCAAATGTCACAACCCTGTTGCATGAAGGCGCCTAAAGAAAACCAAAGACTGTTGTGCAAAGAGAAATCATTGGAGGCTGAAGGTCCCATGAAGTTATCTTCGTATCTCCATTCATGCGGTGAGAAGCGACTAACAAGAAATAGAACAACGGATACTCCAACATAAGCAAAAATGATGCACATCCAGATTTCTTCTGAAAGTGGATTCATGAAGGAAAATACCCCAGGTAATCTGTTCATAGGCTTCTTGATCATGATACTAATTCCCATTGACATAAAAGGTTTCGTAAAATCTATAACATTTTCTCTTGCGGATGTTATTGTTAAAGGTGCGATGGCCATATCTGCGTCCTGAAATGAAATTTTGCATTGATATATCTGGTATAAAATTACAATATACAAACTTATTAAAAGCTTAGATTTTTTAGCCAAGAAACATGATTTCTATCAAAAAATAATATAAAAATCTGTATAATTACATGGAAAAGAGAGGAAAATCGTTTTCATTTTGCTTTTCAGTTGTCTTCCTGAATTTAGTCAATTTTATGCTAGTTAAATTTTCAATATTAAATTTGTCTAATATACGAGTAAGATCAAAAATCAGTGCATACTTAATTTATTTTCTAGTGATATAAAAGTTTTTAAATAGGGCTTAACTCTTTTGTGAATAACTGATGATATTGAAATTCATTTGAAAATATTAATATAATCTTTATAATATAAAAACTTTTCAAAACAGATAAATACATTTTTGATATTTTACAGCCTATATTTAAATTGCGAACCAGTAAAACATATAACAGCAAATAAATTACACATATAATATTTTAGTCACATTACAGAAATAAATTTAATAACTTACAGTTTCAGAGCATAATTGTTAAAAAAAATAAATGTCCAAAATCCACAGGTAAAATAGGAAAATCGTAACTGCAAACCAAAGAGATGCAGTTTTTCTCAAATATTGTTATACTCAGATTCTGACATAAAATTACCTGTATTTATCAGTTCGACTTTGAATGCTAATTTGCAATCAGAATGCAACTTCCCTGATTTATGCTTTTAAATTTCTTTTATCTGAGAATTTCAAAAAGCAATATTAGAAACATAATTTCAGTACCAGAAGACTGGGGTCAATACTCAGGGAAAGCAATTAATACAAAAATTGAACGCTGTATTAAGGGCTAAAATGGCGTTATAAGGATTTTTGTTTTGGCAAAAAATAAGAGAAATTTCCTAAATTATATAACGGGTTGATAAATATATCACTATGGGCATATATTAGGGAATTTGAGATGAATAAAAATAGAAATACTTAATTTATACATTGGCAGAAGTTCATGGGAAAATACAATTTGTATATCGATAAAAGCTCATGGGAAGAAAAACGCAAAAAGTTTTGTTTATCCATTGAAGTTTTTAAATATGTTTAAATCACTGGCAAATAATCATTGAAAAACAATGTAAAATTAACTAAATTAACAAATGATGTAATAAAGAAATCTATATTCGTATTCAAATTCATTGCTGCAATTACTTTATAAGAACTCTTGAATTTTATTTGGCTTGCGCGTAGTAAATTTAGAAGCAATAGCAGTAGTTATAAAAATGGCTGAGATTGTTCATTAACTTCTCGCTTATGCTAGATAAATTTAATTTAAAATCTAAAAACTATACTCTTCTTGTATAGCTATTAAGATTTAAATAATCACTAGTCGTTACCTTTCTTATTAATTCCCCAACCATACCATTCCATCCAACAGAAGAATTTGCGTCTTTTCCTCCGTATGCTGAATCATTGACTAGCTTGATTATAAAACTGAACTTCAAGTTATCTGCGATAAGATCGGCCAGATCTTTACAGTAGCCTTCGAACATATCATTTCCTTCTAATATTTGACCAGGCTCAGCTTTCTTGTACATCAAATAGGGTTCTTCCTGAAACATCATAAAAATTAATTATATATCGTGTTTTGCTTTAATTTTAGTAAAAGCACTTAAGCACAAATTAATTTTATAAAACAATAAATGAACAAATTCATAGACAGAAATAGAAGTGTATATTTATAAAAATATTCCCAGTTGATATCTAATGGAGCTTTACTTGGAATAAAAATAATTTTATTGCTACAAAATTACCTTCATGCAAAATATGCATCATATACGAATTTGATTGAAAGAAATTCCCTAAAAGTGGTGCTTTTCATTGTTCTCAGAAAATAACGGTCGTAATAATACACCTTAAAGAAAAAACAGTAAAATACATACAATAATTATGATGATAAAATTTATTAATAAACTTAATAAAAGGTATTTTTTTTTAAATTTAGATGGATCCGATGGGACTCAGATTTTAACTTTACAAAAGATGTTTTAATGGTAATTTTTGAAAAGATTTATTAATACATCCAAAAGGATTTTGGAATTATAAGAATACGATATAAGATTAGATTGAATACTGGCATGATTGATATGGTTACAGCCGAAAATATCGCGGTAAAAAACATCGCAGACGAAAACGTCGCAGAGAAAACAAAACGCAAGGCGAAAACGTCGTGCAAAACAAGGAAGAAAAATCGCAAAGAGGGGAAAACATCGCAGTTCTAAAACATCGCGGTCAAAACATCGTCGTCGAAAATAAAGCGGTTCAAAAACTTCGCAGTTTAAAAACATCGTCGTCGAAAATAACGTGGTAAAAAATAAAGTATCTACAAATCATCGCATGACGATAACATAGCAGACATACTTTTTTCAGGTTTTAATAATTGTAAATGGATATTTCCGTAATGATTTGTGAGCGCAAGATGGAAAGAAGGATAATTTTTACTTTCATATTTTTTATTAATCAATAAATTTTTGCTGAGAAAATAAAGGAAACTTAAGCATAGAAAATTAATGCAACTTATAGCACTTAATAGAATTTTAAACCGACATAGTTAACTAACAAAGGTCATTAATAAATCATATTTTATAAAGTTTTTACTGGTAATTTTTCACGAAAAGTATAATCTATGAGTTGCATTTAATTTTCTATGCTTAAGTTTCCTTCTTACTTTTTCAGCAAAAAATTTATTAGTTAATAAAAAAATATGACAGTAAAACTAATCCTTTTCCCCATCTCATTATGTGAGTATTCTTTAACGATTATTAAATCCTGAAAAACGCATGCCTGCGATGTTATTGTCATGCGATGATTTGTAGATACTTTATTTTTTACCACGATATTTTCGACGACGATGTTTTTTAAACTGCGAAGTTTTTGAACCGCTTTATTTTCGACGACGATATTTTGTACCGCGATGTTTTAGAACTGCGATGTTGTCTCTTTGCGATGTTTTCACACACGATGTTTTGTAGCACGACGTTTTCGCCTTGCGTTGTTTTCTCCGCGACGTTTTCGTCCTCGATGTTTTTGCCGCGATGTTATCGGCGGACACCGATTGATATATACACTGATGGCTCCGCATATGAAGGTGGAACTGGTTGTGATTTTGTTATTTTTTATTACAGAGTCGAAATCTATAGTAGAAAAATACGATTAGGAGGAAATAAATTAGTGTATCAAGCTGAAGCGGTTACAATTAGAGAGGCACTGTGGTGGAGTTATAAAATTTTGAAACAGTACTTTACAATACGTATATAATCTGATGCTCTCTCGGCCCTACAAGGCTTGGCGAATTAGAAACCAAGCAATAGACTTTTCGTTTGGAATATAAAACTTTAATAGCAAAATAAGAGAGAAAAATGGTATGTATTTTCATTGGGCAAGGCACATATTGGTGTTACCGGGAATGAGAGGGCGGATATGTTAGCTAAAGAAGCAGCCCTGGGAGAAGGTGATATTTATGACGATATTAATGATTCCAGAAGAAGTACCATGAGAAAAATGAAAGCAAGTATAATTGAGAAATGGGCTCGGGAATGGAATGGTTCAAATAAAAATAAGGGTTACTTGAAAATTTTGACCATAAAAAGAAAAATGGATCTATTTAATAATATAGATACTATTCAAGTTATCACGGATTATGATAGATTGACGACCTATTTAAAACCTCCAGGACAATGATCAATGTTTGGCTTGTGGGAAACATTGATCATCGGAAATGCAGCTCATTTTATAGAAGAATGTAAACTGACCTAGAGTGTGAGGACGAGATTTGGAAAAATAAATGAACAGAATGTAATTGGAAAAAGAAAATTCTTGAATAGCTATGCAACAGAAATTATGAGGCTTGTGAATGAAAACAAGAGTATCATAGGAATAGAATATTTAAATATTTTAGTTTTTCTTTTGTTTAGGAGTTTATGTGTTGGGTGAGTGAGTTATGTGTCGTCTTATTATTTTTTTGCTTTCTAACCGATTATGCTTATGATTTTCCTTATTTTGTATTGTGTGAGTGTATTTTTAAAGACACACAATCTGTGTTAATCTGTTTAATCTGTATTTTAATCTTTTGTTTTTATCTTTTAACTGTATTTTTGTTTGTCTGCGTCGGGCGTGCTGCGTTGAACATGAGGCCGATTATTATCGGCCAGGAGGGTTGTAGCATACTCGTAGGCTAAACTAAACTATATTAGGATGCAATGGGTATTTTAAAAAGAACCAACACATTACAAGGAAAATTGATGATTATTTCAACTATATTACAATCAAATTAATTCTTTGATTTTTTAATGTCATTTCTTTGTTCACATAATATTTTTCAGGCCAGAGTTTGTCAATCCTTTTCTCTTGATATCTGTTTTGAAAGAAAGAAACTACTTAAAACATCTTTATTTGTTTTCCTGATATCCTTCATTTCGGCAAAAATATATTTAAGAAAATTTGAAGCTGATTAAGAATATAAGAATAAAATTTGTAAGGCTCTTTAGAAATGAATAAAAAGGCTTTTAAAGGTAACTTATATATATGTAACTAAAAACTTAATTTTAGAAAATATCGAATAGTCTTGATATACCTTTCAGTATGTAAGAATTCAAGACATAATAATACATTAATAAATAAAAATGCTAATTAAATAATTTAAAAAAGACAAATTATCAAAATTTTAAATTGCTACTGGGCACCCCTTATAATAATTTTCAAGCGACCTCCTATTCTAGCGGTTTCCAGCCCGCGTTACATACATCCCTGGGGGTACACGACAGCTTAGTCAGAGAAACGCGAAAAAACGAACAGTAATGGCTGAAAACAACAAAGTATTATAATAAATACTGATGAAAAACAAAAATATTAAGAAAGTTAAAAACTTTCATTCCTGTACAATAGCCGTTGACAAAAACATGTACGAATGCAATGTAATTAGTTGTAACCAGTTCCTCCGACAGTTATATTGTTCGATTCTTTACTCATCATCTCATCATATACAATCACCCTTTTCCAGCTAAAAGTCATAGCTAGTTGTATAAATGACTACCAGCTAGTAGTATTTTTAACACTCAATAAATCCTAAAAGATGCATAAAATGTTTTTTGCCATATGATGTATTTGATTGATGCATAAACTCTATAGTTCTTTCTCGCTATTTTATTAATAAATCATTAATTTTTATTGAAATTGTACCGCTTGATTTGATTAGAAACATAAAATTAAAGAGTATAAATTTAATACCAAAATGCTTGTCACGATGTACGTCTTATTTTCAAATCCTGTGTTTTGAGGTATTCTTCGGTAGTTAGGTGGTATTAATTGAAGGCCATCAGAATCTGACCAGTGTGCAACCTGTAAAATGTAAAAGAAAAATGATGATCAAAAAGCAAATAAGGGACAAAAGAAATTGTGATATTAAAATAAAAAACATTCTGAAGAAGCTTTGTTTCAAAGTATGGGCAATTGTTTATCAATATATGTATGTGTGAATGCCCAGAAAATTTTCAGTCAAACAAAGGAGCAAATCTATTGTAAAAAATATTTTTCTTTGTTGTTCCAACATAACCAAATGTTTCGTATGCCTGATACCATGCAAATTTTATACTTTTTAATTTAAAGGAAATTCTGCAACAGTGCACATAAAATAGTAAAAAACAATGCAAATGTTGTAGTTATTATACGTACGTATATTTTTCCTACTTTTGCGTTTTAGGACTTTAAAGTTTCTCTCAACAGAGATACCGTTATATATCAACATACTTTTTGAGATATTAAAATAATATCCACAAACATTAAAAAAGTGCAGATTATGGTGCAGATTTTGTATTCAATATTCAATGCATGACAAAGGCATTCAAATTCATTTCTCATAAAGATGATGTAAAGCTGAAACTTTAAACAGCTTTTATTTCATTTACCATTTTCTGTAACGAAAGAAAAAGGAATAAAATTTAAAGTCTATGTTTATAACGTTTTAAATACTTCATCTCATTTATTGTATTTTAAGAGATTCTAAAACTTTTAAACTGTATACAGGAGAGCATAATCCGTCAAATACCATTAATATGCGCATAGTTTATGAAAATTTTGAAGGTAATAAAATGTTTTCTCTATTGAACGGGAGCTCTTTTTAGATGTTCAGTTTTAATATTTCTTCAAACTCTACCCAGAATTTCCTACGTTTAATATTTAGTGAGCATTTAAGCTTATTCAAAATAGCACTGTGATATTAGAGATGTACTTAGATCTTTGTTTTCCAGAATTCCGCAAAAAATTTGTTTTATTTAATTCCTAAACATCTCTAGTAAGAAACAATATAACTTACTTTCACCATTTCACTGTTCATTGACATTTCAACTATGTTAACAGTGAAGTTTTTTCTCCATCCAAAATCGTCAAAGGTAATATTTCCCGTTAATCCAATTTTTTCTGTCTGCACTTGAAAAAAATTATAATAGTTAGTTACACTTGAAGATGAAATGAAAACACAGCACTTTTTAATGCATAATATTTTAGTTTCAAAATTCGTGAACAATTTCTAAAACCATAACTTTTTGCTTTAATTCTTTTTTCTATTGAAATTATATAATGTGATTTAAAATGGTATCTGATATAACATTGCTTTTAAATGAAGAATTCCATCACATGCACTGTTTTCCAAACCTTAAGAAACGATATGCAAATTCTGAGCTTCTAAACTTGTGTTTTAAATTCATTTGATGAAAATCAGTGTAGTTGTAGAAGATTCGCTGTAAGAAATTCACTGGTAAGTAGGCATGTATCATACCACTTGACCAATAAGGATTTTCTCTACACAAATATGCAAAGTGAGCAGTGAATGAACCTTTGAACAAATAAATTTAGAATCTGGGAGAGAATATTTGAAAGACGATTTCGTTCATTAGATAAATTATAAAAATTTCAGAGAGGTTTCATAGCTAACCAAGATCCCTCCTGACTACTCACAATCAAACATTTTCTTTACACCGATGGCGAGTTATCGCCCTCAGCTTAAGCTGACGGTGGAAATAAGAGATACAAATAATATAATATATTAACTTTTCTTTATTTTTTCACGAATGCTGAGTTGACTTTAAATAATATAAACAGAAAGTTAAAGTTTAATTGATTTACAGCTATTCGATAGAATATATAACAATTTAAGCGACTGTAACATCAGTGAATCTACTCGAAGCTATAAATAACAACTGGATCAGACAAACTAACTATATTAAAAGACACACTTATAAAAATTGTGCCAAGCCGAATAAACGACGTTCGCTTTTAATCTAACAGCAGCTTCCACTAGGCAAGGTAGAAGGCGGCAGCAATGTATCTATTACAAGACACGTCGATTACGATTCTTCCTCTCAATTTAAACTACGTAGTTTGCCATAAAATCTTGACGAAGCGAAGCATAAAGGAAAAACTCAAAAATAAATCCTCACTCTCTGTTAAATTTAAATGAAATGTCACCAGATCAAACATGAACCAAAGAAGATAACAGGATAATCATTAATAGCTGACGTGCTGTCAGCCTGTTAAATATAGGGCAGTTTGTTTAATTTCCTTATAGCTGACCACTATGCAACTTATTGTCTTTAGCAAAATATTTAAATGAATGAGTTAATTGTCCGGATACCTCAAGCTCTGGTAATAAACATATGGCTTTATCGACAAAGCGAAATCTATAATTGATTGCGTCACCACTGAAAAAAAATTGAAACTTTCATTAAAACAATGGTTTTAACATTCAATTTCGTTATCTGCCACGAAACATACATGCGGAAAAGTGGTCTGAGTACCACGAATTTGTTTTCCATTAAGCCTAAGAACAATTAAGCCTAAGAAAACGTTTGATTTAGGGGCATCAACATGCGAAATGAAAAACAGCTAATGGTCCAATGTATGTTTTACGAATAAGTAAAAAATTGCCATGTAATTTGGTAGTAAAAACGTGAAGATTTGGAGAGCAGACAGGAAGGCGCAAAAACCCAATATATCATTAAACAGTAGACCTTTAGAGCTAGCAGTATAATGCTGTTGGTTATATTTTCTTTGAGATATCGCGTCTAATTGCAAGACGTTTCAGAGACATAATGTGAAGTCCTAAAGATTTGGGGATGAAATATTTGACCTCACTGTTGACTGCAGAACTTGGTTGGATATTTATGAATGGTAATGCAATCCGTATGGAAACAATACGGTAAACATCGAGAAAGAAGATCGAGAATCTTTTTTTCCCTGCTACATCAAGTTAACTTTCTTGTTCTTAACGTCTGGAAAGCAATATATCCCTGTAATAAACATTGTACCACAAAGACTCAAATATCAAAATTGTGGTGTATCAGGAAATTGATTTTCAGATAACGCTTGAACCATGTAAGGGTTTTTGTAAGTATAAAAATTCTTATTAGATATCCTTTATAACTTCCTGAGTCATGTAAGTAAGCTTTATCCCCACGAATGTAGCATTCAGGCTTGGAAGTTTTTAGCACAGTTTGCTCTCCTAGATTAATCCTGTCATGGATATGCTGAGTTTTCCTTAGTTAGCATAGCAAAATATTTTAAGTTTGGTACCTTTCTTGAACTTCTAATTTTCCCCCTCGCATTTCCTCACCAGGATGAAAATTTAAAGTTAAGTGAAGTGAGTATAAAATCAGACAAAACTAGCAGTTTATGCAAAGCGTGATTTAGCTAGCTAGCGCATGTTACTATTTTGTCCTCTTTGTTACGCTGAGTTGTTGATACGCCGTTTTGGCCATTTAATAAGCATATAGCCAGGTAGGTTGTGGAGTCAGTTTAGTTAGCCTTGAAATAAATTGTTAATCCAGCACTACTCTTTATCTTTGAATTTATTGTGAAATTATTCTTGAGTTCCACTGCAAGTCATTGGTGTTATTGTGAGCCCGAAGTACGTGCATTTGTGTTAAGACCTTGCCGAATAATAAAGGATTTATTTTATTCTTCTGTGCTGGTATTATTCACCCCTGTTCGAGAGGTCGCCAAGTTTCCTAGTAAGACCTAGTTACTTTATAATAGCTATGAGATATATGCTTTATGTGTTAGATCTTACAGGTATATCAAGAATACCTTATAGAGGTCACTTCAAACCATTTATGAGTAATAAATGATTTTGAAAAACAGAGTCTGACTAGACGTATGCATGCTAGCGCACAATCGACTCTTTTGTGAGACAGAATCCACATATAATATGGAGCCTACCCTCGAGGTCAGTGTGCCTACCTTCGAGGTCAGTGAGCATAAAATAAGAGGTTGCAGAAGGAGACTCATCAAAGTGCCGTTTCTAAAAGCAGGTCATCTGGTACAGTGCCTCATGAGGTCTTGTTAACATGCTAACTAGTCTCTAGAAGGTTGTAAAAATAGCTTAATATGTAACATACAGCGTACACTTTTTTATTATGCTGAAAAATAACAAAAAAATTCTTTAAAGCTAAATTTAAAAAAAAAAATATTTTCTCTTTCATATAAAACTTGAGTTTTATTTATAGTTTGGAGAAAATGATGTGTCTAATACTCGTAGAAGACGGATTATTTAATTACTTTTCCTTCCTGCCTATGAAACGAAAGAGAAGTTTAAATGTTTGAGGATATAGAAGTAATTAAGCCGTGATGAAGATTAAATGAAAAATGAAATGCTAATTTTTATAGTCTTTAGAGTATTTTAATGGTTTATTTTAACTTAATGCTGCGAATTTCCTATTTCACTACTCACGTGAGGAACGCCATTGGCGGAGTCTAAAAAATTTTAAGGTTATTCTGTTATGTTATGTTAATCTGTGTTCTTAATTAGTGTGATCATTGCTTGAAATATAAGATTTTTAATTAATTTCAAAAGAGAGTAAAATATTTACCTTCCAAATTTAATCATTCTGTAACACCTTAACATACTGGGCAAAACATACTGATTTGAAAGAATTAAATGTATTTTTAATAATTTATATTTTTATTTTATTTTTGTACTATAAAGCTTAATGATATAATTGGAAATGCGTTTAATTTATCATATATCTGTATGAAACTTATGAAAATTTTCAGCATTATTGCAATTGATAAAATATGTTACTAACATGTATGTTAAATACGCTGAAAATGCTCGTTATGGTAAGCTACAATTTTACAATGCAATTCAATTTATTAATTAAATTTATCACTACTTTATCTGGAGTTGCATTTATTTGAATCAGTCGTATAATACATCGATGACATTGTTTTAACGAAGAGGATTTTGCAAAATGGGAAAGAACTAAAGATCGAAACATACATGTTAAGTTGAAATATATTTAATTAAAAATACAACGTGCTTACTGCTTATATTGAAGATCCGCATGTTTAAAAATATTACTTAACTTAAAAAAATCATATTTAAAAGTTTTTAATAAATATTTCTGTAAAATAATCATGTACTCCCAAACTGGGATAAGATTTCTTTCTTCGAAATAAGGAAAATGTATCAGAAACGTCTGTTTAAAAATCCGAAAACTTCGATTACTCGTAAAGAAAGCGAGAAAAGATTTATTGTATTGGTTTAAGACAGTGATTTGATTTAAAAATCAATTTAATCAAAAATAACTGCTGCATGATTTTTGAAAGAATATAGGGTATTAAGTAGTGTCGTTAATATTCAATGCCACGTCAATACGTGGTGTTAATATTCACCACGTATATAGTTTGAGACTTTTGTTTAATTGATTGATTCAAACTAAAGTATAAAAATCATCGAACTGAACGGATTTTGCAACCATAAATGTAATCTTTTTTCAACTATTCTTTTATTAAGCGTTCATAATAAAGCTATATCTATAGTATTCTCGTATATGCAATTAGTTACGCTGAAAAGTGAAAAAAATTGTGAGTAAGGTGAATTAATGAAAATGAAAACACGAATAGAAGAATAGAAATGAGTTATAATATAAATATAAACACGCGTTTACTTCAAAGTTAGCTGAACAGGTAAATTTTATTTTTATATATCAAGATTACTTCGTATGCTACCTCATTACCTTTAATACAAAAGTAGAGTGTACCTCATGAACTAAAGAAAGTCAGGAATGGCAAAAAATAATAGCAAAATTTTTCACAAGAAAACATTCCACGTATCTTATTAAAAAAATACCCTTCAAACACTGTACAATAATATATATTTCTGAGTCACTTAACGCAACAAGGATTAGTCTTCGTGCTCCATTATATGATGAAAGCTGTGACCTTTTTCATGAATCTTGTTATTCGATCTCCATGCTCCCAAGGCATTACTGGCGTCTGCTGACAGTTGATACCTTTAGTCCCATTGTTGTAAACTTCTCCTCTTCGGAAGTTGTTGCGAAAGATGTCAGGTCTTTTGTTCAAAAGTCGATTGAATGTTTCAAGGATCACTTTGGTGGCATCATACATTAAAGCAACTTCAGTCTACCAAAACATACGGAAATATTTAGCAATTGTTTTTCATATCATGAAGCCATCAATAAAACGCATGACACCTTATATATATATTAAGGAATAAATGCACGAGAACTGGTGGCATATTATTTCTTTAACACTATTTTGCCTTTTTGTATTTAAATCACAAATTACGTAATATATAAAATGATTTGAAAATGAAATGAAATTGTCTAATAAAATTTTCAAGTTTTATAATTAAAATTATTTTTTAATTAAAGACTGCTTTTAGAAGATATGTATTTTTAATAAATAAATAACTAAAGCCCACATCATTATTAAAATGTTAGTTAATGCAAAATTATTAATTTAAGCTTTCTTAAGTATTGCATTTTATTTAGAAGAAAGCATTAATACAGTTTCTTAAGATTAAAATATTTGTAAAAGCATATTTTGTTAGAGATTACAAGAAAAGCATTTAATTTTAAGCGTCAGAAAAAAAAAGCTGAATTTTAAATTAATAATCTGCTAGAAAAAAAGCCGATTGAAATGATGAGACTTTAATTTCGTAAGAGTTTCTTGTATAGAATATTTAATTAAAAATTTTACTGTAGTGAATTGTGTATCAAACCATCTCATTTCGAGTTAAACATTATTTACGTATAAAATTTACATATAATATTACGTATAAAATACGCACACACACACACATATATATATTACATGTAAATTTATTTATAATATTAACATATAAAATTTAAAACGAACCTTATGAAATGTAATATTTCAAGAACAATTAATAAGAGTTAAATGCAGAAGTCTCTTCAGACATGCAGTAAATCATATTTATGTATGAATATTGTATTTAATTGTTTTTCTCCAGAACTTTTTTGCATAATAGTATAATAAGGAATATTCATGTGGTTTATACATAAAGCTGCGTAATTATCATAGTTATATACTTTTCTAGGAACAATTTGCATTTCTAGGAACAATTCGACTTTTAAAAATTTAAAAGTCCTACAATAATGCATGGCTATCGTAACTGCATTTCAGCAGAATGAAAAATCTCTTCTAAAAACTGCTTTTATAGTACTAAAAAGCTAAGTACTAAAGTACTGAAAGTAGTAATTATTTCCGAATCTTTTTGTTTTAAGAAATAAAAAAAATAAGTAATTATAGTACAGAAAATAGTGTCTTCGATGCTATCTGTAGCGCATTTATTTAAGAAGCATATATGATAGCATAAAATATAAACGATAACACCACAAGTAAAGAGAGTAAATAAATTCGTCAAAATATGGGAGGGAGGGGAAAAGTTGAGATGGGAAAAGTAAAATCCTTTGATCGAGATAGAGAGGCGAAAACTGTCACCGTAATGTGCTGTGTTCCTCCCCCAGGCCATCTGAAAGGATCAAGAGACTTCCAAGCTGTTAAGAACTCCCTCACTTCAGGTCTAGTCTCCTGAAGCATTTGGAATCCAGTGGCGTTGACAGCTCCATGCGGCAGCAAAGCATCGTTCCAGTCATCTTCAATTATCTGAAATAAAAGAGCAGTCAATATCCATGAAATATATGAACTACAGTAAGAAATTCAGCTCGAAAATAAGTACTCCTACAGTTTTGTCATTTAGGAATATAGAAACATTTTTAGCTCATCGCAGTGTTACTAAGAACCAAATCGCAAATTTTCCTTTTGTTTTCTTTCTCTAATAAAATATTTTCCTACTTTTCTCTAAATTGGGAAGAAGCATTCTTCGTTTCACATTCTTTTTGTTCAAGAGTTGAAAATTTTATTCTTCCTTTCATGAAGGGAAATAAATACGATTTCCTTTTTCAGTTCTAACAAGAAAGCGCTTAATGAACTCATTAGGAAAAAATATTTTTTTTAAAAGTAGGCAATCTATGGTGAATTTAAACCATGGGAAGGCATTTTATAAACAGAGATACGTAAAGAAATCTTAATAGGTACTTCAATGAGTCCCATTATACCCCTCTAAAATAAGAACTTTAGAGCTTTGTATTATTTGTGATGCATTTGTTTCATCGTTATTTTATACTAGTATAATGGCTTATTCAAAACATCATTGCGTTTCAAGAGTTTGAGGAACAGAAAAAAAGTAACGTTTTATTCACGATAAACAAGGCAATTAAAAGCAGGGTATTTTAACATTATGTTTGGGGAGATAAATGAGAGGATGATAAAAAATTACGCTTTAAATCTTGGAAAAAAAAACTCATTCTTTTTTCAGTCTCACAAAAGTTTTAATTGAAACAAGTAAATATATTTCGTTTACGCTTTCTTATCTATGCTTTGTTTTATGTGAGTCTTACGTTAAAGAAAATGGTTTAGATTTATGCTGATCTTCAAAATGAGTATTTATTTTTCCCATTATTTCAGAGTTTTGCATTTTTGGAGCCATCAAACTTACAAAATCAATGACATATCTCTAGGTATAGCTGCGTGAGAAAAAGTATCTGCGAAGCAGGTGGCAAAAGCAATTTATCGTTTAGAAGGTTTCAGCGTCTGACCATTTATCTACTAGATGAATTCGCTAGTATATATCTCATACAGTCAATTAAGACTGAAAATATGAAAAACATAGCGAGATATTTTGTGTGGTCCTTTAATATATTTTTATTCATCACTCAAAACACAGAAACTGAACACGTATACACTCCCGAAGGAGTGTTTTAGTAACAGCGTTAGTATCATCTATGTATTATGCTTTAAATTTTCTAATTTCCTTTACGTTAGTTTGCAACACAAATGAGTTTATTTATTAACCACACAACCTGAGAAATGTTCCTATTCAAAAGGCATAAAATTCTTATTTCATAAGTCAGGCTTCCTGCCAAATTTACAGTTCTCATAAGGATGGCTATTCGACATAAGACCTTTAGTTTTAAAATTAAAGCTGCATATTGCTTAACTAAATGAACTATTTAAGAATAATAGGAATGCTTCATAATAAGTTACATCTCAATATTATATTTTAAAAATAATATCGGAGTATACAATAATTTATAATGTTCCGAATTCATGTGATTTATAATGCACCTATTTTTATACACAATTTCTCCATTATCTATAGTAATAAAATCATTCCTCAATGCAGCATATTACGTATTTTTGTAGACAATAATCACCTGCAAGCCTTCTAGTAATCAGATGTTAAAAGCTACAGCGTTAACATCTGATTACTAGAAGTTACGTCTTTACGTCTTTATTAATTTCTTATTCCGTAGGATAGAATTTTAAAGTTGTCTTTGACTAGGATTTAATACATGGAATTATGGAAGAAATAGACACACACAATAACCAGAAAACCAGAAATGTTTTAAAATGCAGATCTTTCGAAAAATGCCATCAATGATTTTGATTTACCTATAAGAGCAGCAAACTCCTTCTTTAAGTTCACCTTTATTTCTACCGTTAGTATTATAAAGATCTAATATTCTTTCCACAGCAGTTATATAACAATATATGCTACTCATTTAAACTAAATTCCTGTAAACCAAATAAAATTAACTAATTATTATACCCATTTATACAGTTTTTCCCCTCATGAATCCATATTTGTTTTTAAGTGATTTAATGCTATTCTAGAGCCTTTAAGTTCATTAAATGAAAATTCATGTTGTTACAATTCTGAAATTATATACTTACCAGACTCGTTATTAAGAAATGATAATTTCGTCTGTTCATGTACGTATCCTGAATATGTAGACTGACAATAGACTTCGCGACTTCTGGTTCACAGTCAAGAATTACATACTTCAAGCCACGCCTATCTTGTTCTTCTAACTTTCTTAAAAAATCACTGGCATCCGTAGAATTACTTATTCTTCTTACAACTCTCATCTCTAATTTATTTTTCTCTGATGTTAAGTGGAATATTTGTTGAAGCTTTAGAAGCCCTGAAAGAAAGGTGTCATATTAGAAGAAAAATACAAAAACTGCTTGTTAGTATATTTTGAAAATTAATGTAGAATTTTTCCTCTATGTACTTTGGCAACAGAAAATATGTCTTTCAAAAAGTGCAGCAAAATGTTTTCAAGTTTTTTTCAGTCAATAAAATACCGTATTTGACAGCATATAAGACGCACTTTTTTTCCTAAATTTGGTCTAAAAAAAGTTACCTGCGTCTTATACGTGAAAGACACAGTCTAATACGTGAAGGTAATTTCAATGGTTGTTTATTTGGCTTTTATGAAACGTGAGAATTAAAAGAAACCACGCTATTGAAACTTTTTTTCCTTGTGTGTGGCCGTCTAAATAAGGGTGCGTCTTATATGCCGTCAAATACGGTAACTTATTTTAAATGCCAAAAATATGCATTTTTTCTGCATTTTGCTTGAAACTGAAAAAAACCCCGTTATGAAAACTTATTTAAAGTGAAGCTCAAGACCAGCTACTCATAGGGTTCAGCAAGTAGAAGCCCGAAGCGTATCATCGTTGTCTTGCCTGCTTTAACGTATCAGGTGGCCTCATATCGGCCTTATCTATTTCAACGTTTCACTGGGTCATCGGCCGTTCCTTTAAATCTAGTCATGACCTACATAACTCATTTACTTTTGGAGTTATGGATGAAGACCCTGTGTCAAATGATCCTTCTTGAGGTAAAGCTGGCTGCCCAGTTGGTTTAGTGGTTAGTGACGGTAGCTGCTCTACCGATGTGATCGGAATTGAATCCCGAAGAAAGCATGGATGTTTATAGAGGTGCAGTGGCTGTGTGGCAACGGGACACTAAAAATACAATGTGAGTCGAAAGACACTTCGAGTGGCTGTAGTAGGGGAAGAGGTTCGAAGCAGACCCTTCAACCGCCTTCATCACTTTTTATTCCACTGTGGCCTCACTTCAACACATCACCTAAACTAATCTAACGTTCACAACTAGAATGCATGGAAAGAAGAGATAGTTAAAAAAAGAGACGCAAGGAACAATATTTGTCATATTATGAATTTCTGTGCAAAAGAATTCGCAAACCATTAAGCAGACACAAGTTACAACTTTATAATTTTATTCTGGTCCATATTACCATCTTTGTAATGGTTACGGATTCTGTATCACACAGCGTCTTTTGCTTTTTTGTTTATCGAATTAGTACTACTATGAATTATTATTTTAATTTCGATTTGTTTAGATATTGTGTTAAACCTCTTATACACGGTTGCAGTTATTAATATTGTTAAGGAATTGGCTTGCTTTTACTCCAATTTACTTTTCAATTTAAATGCTTTAAGTTTATATATAAATACATATAAATATTGTTTCAAAGGAATAATAAATTGACATTGATAAATCTGTCTCCTGCCTGCTCAACAATTATTCACTTATGCATTTTTATAAATTCTTAGGAATAAAAGATTTATTGGAATTATATGTTTATTCATATATTTTGATACTTGCCCTTCATTTACATATGGTCTCAGAATTTAAGGGGTATCAGAAACCCCTATACCGACAATGTTAACTTGGCCATTTTCGATGTACCTTTTCTCAAACTCTGCTGTAGATACAAGCTTGAATTTTTTTCTGTAATTAAAGTATACCTATCTGATTATACTGAAATGAGCTTTTGAAACATTTTGAATTTTAGAGTAAATTACAGAATATTTTGTTAGGCATAGTAAAATTTAGCACTTTTCTCACACAAAAAAATTAAAAACAATTTTTTTCTAAGTTTATTACAAAAAGCTCATTTCAGTAAATATTAAGGAACCTAATAAATAAGCCATAAAAAGTTTAGATACCTGTGAGCAGTAGTTCCTGAGAAAAGGTACATCGGGTATAAAAAAATTACGTTGGGAGAAAAACGCGTTTTTATGTAAAAATCCTCATTGATTAAAGCAGTAGATGACAAATTAAAACTAGATCTTTTTACAGTTTTAACTTTCATAGAGATTAAAGAATGGTATTTTTGGAAAGATAAAAATGTAGAGAATTTGAAAATGCAAAAATCTGAAATCACAATTTTTGAAGATTTTGGGGTTCCAACACCCCTTAAATGATATTGCAGATTAGTTCGCAGCAATAATTAATCATTTATTTGTAATTTAATTTCATTAAAAAATTAATTAAATTTAAATTTGCTTTTTACAAATAGAGAATGTTTGTTAAATACATATATATATTTATATGGTTAGAGCCGAAAACATCGTGGCAAAAACATCGCGGACGAAAACGTCGCGGAGAAAACAACGCAAGGCAAAAACGTCGTGCTACAAAACATCGTGGGAGAAAACATCGCAACGAGAAAAACATCGCAGTTCTAAAACATCGTGGTACAAAACATCGTCGTCGAAAATAAAGCGGTTCAAAAACTTCGCAGTTTAAAAACATCGTCGTCGAAAATATCGTGGTAAAAAATAAAGTATCTACAAATCATCGCATGACGATAAAATCGCAGACATGCTTCTTTCAGGCTTTAATAACTGTAAATGGACATTCCCATATTGATTTGTGATCGCAAGATGGAAAGAAGGATAATTTTTACTTTCATACTTTTTATTAAATAATAAATTTTTGCTGAGAAAATAAGAATGAAACTTAAGCATAGAAAATTAATGCAACTTATAGCACTTAATAGAATTTTAAACCGACATAGTTAACTAACAAAGGCCATTAATAAATCATTTTTATAAAGTTTTTACTGGTAATTTTTCATGAAAAGTATAATCTATAATTTGCATTTAATTTTTTATGCTTAAGTTTCCTTCTTACTTTTTCAGCAAACAATTATTAGTTAATAAAATATGTGAAAATAAAAATGATCCTTCTTTACATACTGCGCTCACAAATCATTATGGAAATATCCATTTACAATAATTAAAACCTGAAAAAAGCATGTCTGCGAAGTTATCATCATGCGATGATTTGTAGATACTTTATTTTTTACCACGATATTTTCGATGACGATGTTTTTAAACTGCGAAGTTTTTGGACCGCTTTATTTTCGACGACGATGTTTTGTAGCACGATGTTTTAGAACTGCGATGTTTTCTCTTTGCGATGTTTTCTCCCACGATGTTTTGTAGCACGACGTTTTCGCCTTGCGTTGTTTTCTCCGCGACGTTTTCGTTCGCGATGTTTTTGCCGCGATGTTATCGGCGGACACCATTTATATAACTTATGTATATATAATTTACGCATGTTTATATAATGCTCTCTCTCTATATATAGTATCTCTATATTATATAATGTATTATATATATATATATATCAGGAATTTATAATATATTACATAAAATTGTAGAATAGTACTGCAGAAAGTTTTTTACAAAAATATCCCAAATCATTCCCGCACAAAATGTTGTTGTTATATTAATTAATTTATAAGGTAGTTTCTCTCTCCTTCCAGCATGCCTTCGTGGTGTAACGGTAGCACACTCAGCGCGTATTCGAGAGGTCCAGGTTCGTGTCCCGGCGAGGGCATTGCTCCTTTTTCATGTCTCCTGCTTCAAGAATACTAATGACTCCATGGTGGCGCACGAACTAAAAGATGGTAGATCATAATTCATCATGAGCAGGATTTGGCGATTGGGTTAGCTAAGACCTGCCTTTAAGACTTTGAAAGGGGGGGATTATAATTGGTATTTTCCCCTCATTCCAGCATGCCTTCGTTGTGTAACGGTAGCACTTTAAGTCTCCCGCGTAAAAAAAAAAAAAAAAAAAAAAAAAAAAAAAAAAAAAAAATTGCTTAAATAATCACTAAATTTCTCAATAAAAATGTAAAAAAAAACGTATAAAGACCCTATCAGTTCAGTTTATTTAAACCAGAAGAAACCCGTACAACAAAAGAAATACAAAAAAGAAAAGGAAGAGGAATAGAATCAAAATCTGATTTAACAGCTATCAACAGGGGGTCGATCAGATTTCAACTGAGCCACCTTCCTAGAAAAACTATTGTGTTTCTGTTCACCCAAAACTAACTGATGAACCATTTAAAATTATTTAAGCATTACAATTCATTCGAAAAACTTAGAGCGCTTCTTCTACACAACAGTCTTCCTATCAATAATACATAGCATATTTAAATGAAATCACTGTAACAAAATCAGTTTCCTTAATAAAGCAAAAAGTAACATATGTACATAATTACACATATTAAAATTGAAAATTTACTAGAATTAAAGAGTTAAAAAAATATTGGAACCTACTGATTGCAGAACAAAGGAAACTGAGGAAAGAGACACCTATGGTTGCCTAATAGGTTTAAAGGAAGTAACATTACCAAAGATTTAGTACTAGATTTTATTAAATCAAAATTTAACTGTATTTCATTCATAATTCATTCAAAAGTATTTTCTGTACTATCAACTTTCTTCATAAATGTTTTGATGATCTCAACCTGCGTAAGATCTTTCAGCAAGCTCAACAAAAATTTCCAGCGTTGTTTAAACACTCTTGTTTCCAGCGCTGTTGATTCGGATACAAAAGTCTGCTTTAAATACAGCACACACAAAACAAAACTAAGCAATTACATTAATAACCACCATGAAGAAGATTTTTATGCAAACACCACACCCACTTGATATTGTAGTTAAGAGAAATTTCTACCATAGGTTGATGAACAACATAATTATATAATTACAGAAAGTCTGTACATAAGTATAGGATCAAGAATTAAAGCAACTCATGAAAAAAAGGTACAAAATTTAAAGAAGTAAAAACGTTTCTAAATCCAATCGTTTGGAAGCTAGCAGATATTGACAACTTCATATTAAAAGCAAGTACTCTTCTAAGTTAACCAACTCATCTTTTTAATAAATTCAGAAAGGAAATAATTGATCAAAAGCAAAACGGAGATAAATGAAGTTCAAGGATTTAAAAGAATTAAAGATTGGAAAGATTTATTTCAGAAGATTATGCTACTGAAAACCAGTTTACAATT